GGTAAGAGACTCTCGTGAAAAATTATCCAATAGAAATTGTCTAAAGCCACTAAATCTAGGATTCATATTTACCTCAATGTGAGGAGGAATATACACTACACATAGACCATATAATATACACAATTAAATGTGAGAGGGAGGAATGATATCAACATAGCTAGGGACCTTACAAACCTCATCATATTTTGAATGTTTTTTCAAAAATGTTAAGAGAAGTTTACGCCAACACGCAAAGCCCTACGTGCACTCTTTCATTATTCCTCTCTTCTTTCGCCCCAACAGTCTTTGACGACCCACCTTCCCCTTTTGACCCCTCTCTCTCATGCACACGCATGTTATTAATTCAAATGGTTCGTTTATACTTTTGGCATTTATGATCATGATATATAGAGAAAAATATAATAAGATTTTATTTATACATTATACAAAAACAGAGAGAAAAATGTATAGTTCGACATTTGAAGTCGATTAAAGAGTTTCAATATTAACAATTAAGAAAAAGTAAGATAGATAGTAGTAGGTAATTAGCGGATATCCGATCCATTTTATTTTGGTGTACCCTAATTCATTTTTATCCGGATGAATAGTTAAGAAAATCGTTTTGATCTATTTTTTGGAGTAAAAGATTGGGACATAGTATACCCATTAAAATAGACTTATATTTTCATATATAAAATAATGGTGACAAAATTGAACTTTAGTTTATGATGAATTTTAATTACTTTAGAACTAAATATTTTTCATAAATGTTATTACACTATACTAGAATTCAGTGAACATCCAAAATTTACAATTTTAACTCTATCACTCCAATACTATTTTGTTGTATTTGCTTCGTTTTTTTTTTGTGGGCCAAGTCAAATTGTATTAGATCGGATATTTATAAATCAAAACGTACAACCGTTCCCGAAGGAAGGGAGATGATCATGAATCAACCCATCAAAGGTTAAACCTTAAACAAAGGTAATTTAACAACACTCTTGTAAAGGAGATATATAATGTATGCTTCGTTTTCAAAAATGTTTGAACATTCTTAACATTTAGACCGATCGAAGAAGAATGTTAATATTTTTGTTATTCTATATATCTATAGTAGAAGTTGATCAAAAAATATATATATAGAGTAGATGCTAATATTAATAGAGTGAGAGAGGCCTAGGCCTAAGATATTGCTTGTCAAAGCGTGACAGGCTGCATAGGATCCTGCAATAACATAAAATATGGTACACATTGACATAGCTAGGGTTTTATGTATAAAGTTTGGGAAATTTAGGGCAGACAAGTCCCACGTTTTTCATTTTTTTTTCTTTCAATTATTAGGCAAGTTATTGTTTGGCCCTAGTTTCTTTTATCTCTCTTCACACTCTCACTTTTCTTCTTTAACCCTTCTTTTGCGTGAGATGCCATCATGGCATGGCATGGTTCTTTTGTCTTACGTAAAACACACTCAGGTCAAC